AGAGACGGATGGACGGGTGTGTAAGTGGTTGGGTGGATGGGTGATTAAAGGTGGATAGGTAAAGGGGCTAGAGAAATGGGTGGATGAGCAGATGGATGGGTAGGCGGGTGGATGGATGGGGGGGGCGGAAGGCGGGAGAGGAGGCGGAGCAGCGGGAGCCCTTGCATTGCAGGGTGTGGTGTGCTCGGCCAGGCTCCTGAGCTGCGGCTGTGTGCGACCTGTGCCCTCCCGTCCCGGTCCCTGCTTACAGGAGGCGCCCAGTGAATAGTCAATGAGTAAACCTCAAACTGCCAGTCTCAGAGCTGGGCCCCACTGTAGAGACCCAGTTCAATCCTCTCGGAGGCCCAGGAGGGAAACTGACTTCTCCAAGGTCCCCCGGAGAGTCTGCGCAGAGTTGGGGGTGCACTCGGTTCCCTGATCTCCAGGCCTCCCGGCTCTCCTCTGCCTGGGTGAAGCAGTCCCTGGATGTGTTCTGGAAGGGACCGGCCTCAGTGACCTCTCAGGCCCCTTCTGGCTCGGACGTGCTTCTGATGCTCTGACTGGAGCGGGTCGGAGGAGGGGGAGAGTGAAAAGCGCTGGTTCTCAGGAAGGCTGGGGAGAGGGGAGCGGGGTGACTGAGGCCAGGCTGTGCATGGAGAGTCTAGGGTATGTGTACGCGGATGGGGCCATACCAGCCAGGGCCACAGAGGCGGGGCGGAGGTGAGGTGGCACACCACTGAGGCCATGCAGAAGCTGACCGCCTCTGCCCAAGGTGAGGTCCCCTGGGTATCGGGGTGCAGCTCTGCATGGCTCTGAATGGCAGCTGGGGTGAGGAGTTTTGCCTTGCCTGTTCTACAGAAAAATGGCCCAGCCTGAGCAGGAGAGGGGCCCTCTGCCGTGGAGGAGAAGCCACATGTCCCTGAGCGTCTGGAGAAAGGCACAGGGCAGCCGGTGTGCCACCTCCCAGGGAGGGATGCAGAGAGCTAGGCGCGGCCAGACAGGGACAAGTAGGGCTGAGTCCCAGCCTCTCCACGGCCCTCATCCTCATGCGGGGCTCCCGGTGCCCACCCCCAGGAATCCCACCATCTGGACCAGTGAGGCAGTCCCTGGGCCTGCTGCCCCCTGAGGTTGGGGGTGTCTCGAGACATAGGGTCCTTTAGGAAGGAGAGCCCTGATATGGGACGGCTTTGCTGGGGTGGGGGTCGGGGCAGAGTTACCTTGGTCGGTGGGACATAATGGGGCTGAGTTGTGGGGCCGGTTCTGAGCCCAGAGGAGTCCTGGTGGGACTTAGGGACAGCCCTGCGCTTGCCCCTCCCCCACACAGGCAGCAAGGCAGGGGGCTGGGGGAGCTCCCTTCAAATGTCCAGGCCTGGAGAACTGCGGGGGAGGGGCTGGGAGAGGGAGGGCGGGGAGGGGCGGGAGGACGGGGCTCTCCGAAGTGGGACTGGGTCAGGCGCGGAAACTCCATTCTGGAATATAAGGGTGGCCAG